TATAATAATAATTCACAAATATAATAATTTACAATATTGCTTTGGTTTCTGCCATACATCAACATGAATTAGCCATAGGCTATATATATGTTTCCCTCCCCTCTGACCCTCCGTCCCACCTCCCACCCTTTCCCACCCCTCTAGGTTGTGACAGAGCCCCAGTGTGAGTGCCCTGAATCATAGAGCAAGTTTCCATTGGCCCTCTATTTTACATATGGTAGTAGATATGCTTCCGTGCTGCTCTCTCCACTTTTCTTACCCTCTCCGTCCTCCCCACTACCTGGTCTGTAAGTCTGTTCCTATGTCTGCATCTCCACTCTAGTGAGGTGGGCGACCTATGTCCTTTCTCTGCTGGAACAAAATAGGGGCCGTTGACAGACTTCTGGGAGAGTGGGAAAGTACTAAGCCATCCTCTTAGACCCTCCCAATGTAAGATTTCAAGTCAATGCTGCTGCTGCTAAGTCGCTTCAGTCGTGTCCGACTCTGTGCGATCCCATAGATGGCAGCCCACCAGGCTCCCCTGTCCCTGGGATTCTCCAGGCAAGAACCCTAGAGTGGGTTGCCATTTCCTTCTCCAATGCATGCATGCATGCTAAGTCGCTTCAGTCATGTCCGTCTCTGTGTGACCCCATGGACAGCAGCCCACCAGGCTCCTCTGTCCACGGGATTCTCCAGGCAAGGAGACTGGAGTGGGTTGCCATTTCCTTCTCCTCACTTAGCCCTAAATCCAGCTGGTTGATTGGGTACCAGCCCCAGAGCACGGCTGCCTACACAGTCATGGAACTGTTGTACCCTAGCAGACTGGACTTAACCGGCCAACCCTTGGCTGAGCCAGATATGGAACCATTTACTGATGCAAACAGTTTCATGGGCCAAGGTAGGTAGATAATGCACTGGATACGAGGTGGTAACCCTTAAAATGATTGTTGAAGCCCTGTCCCCAGGGAGCTCAGCCCAGAGGGCAGAAATCATTGCTCTGACAAGAGCCCTACTACTCACTGAAGGGAAGGGAGTAAATATATATACTGACTCTTGTTATGCGTTCTCCATGCTGCATGCTCACAGGGAAATCTGGAAAGAAAGAGAGCACCTAATTTGCAACAATAAAGGCATAAAACACGCTTCTGAAATCCCGTCTCTATTAAAAGCAGTCCATAAGCCCCCACAGATGGCCACAGTGCACTACCCAGCCCACTAGAAGACCAAAAGTCTTATAATAAAGGGCAACCAGTTGGCTGACCAAGCTGCAAAGAAGGCAGCAAAGAAAGGGGTTGTTGAGCCAATCACCTTCTCCTGCAGACTGACCTGTCAAAACACCAGCTGGGGATTCACGCTTGACCACACCTCACCTGGCTGGAAATGTCATGCACAAGGAATTGTTTTGATTCCTGAGACCCTCTTGGACACTGTGCTGCAGACCATTCATATTAGTACCCACTATGGGAGAGAGGCCACCTTACAAAGGATTTAAAAATATATAATAGGATGTAACCTACAAAGGACCATCTTCAGCAAGTCACTGAAAATTATGTGATTTATGCTAAAAATAACCCAAAGACTGCTGTCAGACCTCCCCAGATGGTGACCCAACACAGAGGAACCTGCCCCACCCACAACTGGCAAATCAACTCAAGTGCCCCAGGACACAGGAAATTTCACATACCTTCTACTCTGTGAGGACACTCTTTCACGATGGGTGGAAGCATACACCACCTGAACAGAAAAAGCCTCCAAAGTGGTTAAAAGTCCTTAAAGATATTATCCCCCAATTTGGACTGCCTACCTCTCTTCAAAGTGATAATGGGCCTGCTTTTGTCTCTAGTATAATCCAACAGGTGTCCAAAGCACTACGAATTAATTGGAAGCTACGCACATCCTGGAGACCACAGTCAGGAGGAAAATACAAGAAAATGAATGTAACCTTAAAAAGGAGCATTGCTAAAATATGTCCATTTAATTTGGAATAAGGCCCTACTACAGATCAGAGAGGCTCCCAGAAGGAGGCTTAAATTAAGCCCCTTTGAAGGCCTTTCCAGGTGTCTGCCTGGGTGGGAGAATCTATAAACGCTCTGAAAGATCCATCAGTCACCAATTATGTTTAAACTGTATGTACCAGGTTAACCTCTGTTCATGAGTTTACCTCCAGCAGGTGTGCCTATCCTACTGAAGTAGCCTTAGATCCTTTCTGAGCTGGGGACTGAGTCCTCCTTAAAACCTGGAGAGAGCAAGGGCTTGAGCACCAGCTGGCTGCATGGTGGACAGGACCACACGTGGTGTTACCTACCAACGGTCATCTGTTAAGTGAGCTTCAGGAAAGCCATGGATTCATCCCACTTGAGTTAACGGAGCCCCACTGTCATTAGAACATGACCCAACTCCTGAGAGGCCTAGAGAGCCATGGGTTTGTGAACCCTTAGAAGACTTAAGGTTGCTCTTCAAAAAAGATAAGCATTGAGATTAAAATCTCATTGCAGAAGAGATTTCAATAGGTTCAAATAGTTGTAGACAAATAATTGTATTACTTACTAAAAAATTTAAAGAATATTCTTGGCCCAAGGCTGATCAATTCCATTCTGTGATCAACCCCTGGTGTCCCCTGTTCAGCTGAAAGTGGCCACAGTGATCATCAGCCCCCTTTCCCACAAGACTGTGGAATGGACATTGACGGTGGGCAATTGTATCAAGGGTGAGGCAGCCATTGGCTGTCCTTCTCCACCAATGGGCAGCCTCACAGTGGTCCCCGCAGTCACCAAGTTTCCAACAAATGGCCACACCCTGTACCCTCTCCCACTCCTTGTATAAAAGAAGCCCAAATTTGGGCTGGGGGGAAGTTGGCTTTTTTTTTGAGACACTAATCTGCCATCTTCTCCATCTGCTGGCTTTCTGAATAAAGCCATTATTCCTTGCCCCAACAACTTGTCTCCTGATTTGTTGGCATGTCATGCAGAACAAGCTTGAACTTGGTATCAGAGACAGTCAGGAGGTTAGTCTAGCAATTTGTGCCTGATGTGAGGTAGCCTGTGCTGGGGATGAGCAGTGAGATGGTAAGAAGTGGGTGGATGCTGAGCCGTTTGTACCTGCTGTTCCCTTTGCCTTCAGTGCTCTTCCCTGTATATCTGCTTGCTCATCTTCTTCAGGTCTCTGCTGAAATAACACTTTAATTAGGGAGGATTCTGTTGAACAACTGGTATAAAATAGCAACATCATGCCTATATGTGCCCTACATTTCATCCTCATACTAATTTTTCTCCATAGCATTTAGCACCATTTGACATCACTCTTTCTTTCCTTTAGGGCTTCCCTGATAGCTCAGCTGGTAAAGAATCTGCCTGCAATGCAGGAGACCTGGGTTTGATCCCTGAGTTGGGAAGATCCCCTGGAGAAGGGAAAGGCTACCAACTCCAGTAGTTTAGCCTGGAGAATTCCCTGGACTGAATTCCATAGACAGTCCATAGGTTGGCAAAGAGTGGGACACGACTGAACAACTTTTACTTTCTTTCCTTTAATTATGTCACTCCCCTGACTAGAGTAAAAACTCTGATAGTAAAGACTTTGGCTAATTTTTTTTTTCACTGCTATACACTCAGTACCCAGGATAGTTGACCTATAGTAGCAGCTCAAAAGAAATGTATTAAATGATGAAGCGAATGAGTGGATCCCATTCTCTTTGTTGGTTATCTGTTGTACAACATGCGTGCATGCTCAGTCACTTCAGTCATGGTCTGACTCTTTACAACCCCATGGACTGTAGCCCACCAGGCTCCTCTGTCCATGGGATTCTCCAGCAAGAATACTGGAGTGGGTTGCCATGCCCTCCTCCAGGGGATCTTCCCAACCCAGGGATTGAACCCAGGTCTCCTGCATCTCCTGCATTGCAGGTGGCTTCTTTACCACTGAGCCACCGGGGAAGCCCCCTATTGTGTAACACATTACCCCCCAGTTTAGTAGCTTGAAATAACAGGCATTATCTCACATAGTTTCTGTGCACAAGAATCTGAGGGCAGCCTAGTGGGTCCTTCTAGCTCAGAGTCTCTCATGAGGTCCAGTCAAGCTGTCGGTCAGGGCTGCTGTCATCTGAAGGCTTGAGGGGGCTGAGGATCTGCTTCTAAGATGGATCACTCAGGTGATGTGGCTTTTGGTAGAAGGCCCGGGCTCCTTGCCTCATGGGCTGTCTGAGGGTCCTGCATCCCTCAGCACGAGCTAACACACAGAGAGACAGAGACAGACAGAGAGCTGTCCCGAGGACTTGTATAACCTAACCTCAAAGATGACATACCATCACTTCTGCCATATTCTCCAATCATAGAGCCCAACCTTGAGACAATGTGGAAGGAGGCTACACAAGGGCACAAAAGCCAGAAGGCAGTGATCCTGGACTGGGGGCCACCTTGGAGCCTGAGGTCTTGATAAAAGCTCTTTCATCAAGACCTTCCTCCTTACGTGGGCAGGGGGAATGGCATTCCCTGGCAGTCCAGTGGTTAGAACTCCAAGCTTTCACTGCCAAGGGCATGGTTTCAATCCCTGGTCAGGGAACTAAGATCCTACAAACCACAGCACAGCCAACGAAACAAAACAAAACAAAAAAACCCCAAAACAAAAAAGACCTTTCTCCTCCCAGCTCCAGCTATTCATCTGTAAATCACAGATAGTAAACTGTTGACCCACAGCTATATTCAGGATAACTGTTTTTCTTTTTTAAACATTACCATGTTTTAGGTTATTAGACTCAACATTTAAAAATACTAAAAAGCTTTCTCCTCCCAGCTCCAGCTATTCATCTGTAAATCACAGGTAGTAAACTGTTGACCCACAGCTACATTCAGGGTAACTGTTTTTCTTTTTTAAACCTTACCATGTTTTAGGTTATTGGACTCAACATTTAAAAATAAGGGGAAGGGCCGGGAAGCCGTTGGGATGGCCGGGTGGTGAGGGTCTGGTGGGGATGACAGTTGGGCAGTTGGAATGAGGCGGCAGTGAGGAATCTGAGAGACTGTTGGAAGGCAGCCCTGACCTGGGTGGTGGGATGTGGGTGACAGAGGCGAGGGGTGAGGCAGGAGCAACATTTCAGAAGCAGGAAGAAAGGATAAGTAACAGATCCCTGACCAGAAAGGGGGAAATTGGGAGGGGATCTGATCTGAGAGAGAGTTGTATCAGCCTTCGGGGTATGTGAGGCAGAGAGAGGGCTTCAGGGGACCGAGTGCTGCTTTTCGGTAGCTCAGAACCAGTACAGGAGACAGGCAAGCTCGCCGGAAGCTAGTCTGCAAGGCTGAATGAAAGGAAGTCACTGATCTGCTGCAAGATCACATTGTTCAATGCCAGAGGAAGGGGTCTGAAGTAAGTACGGGAGTTCTCTGATCCTGAGATGACTGCCGGCCATCAGGAGGAGGTGTCCGGCCAGCCCAGAGGAGGGATGTGGGCTGGGAACAGAGATGTGAGAATAAATACTCAAAGCTCTGTAAGCAAATGAAGCAGGAGAAGGGAGAGTTGCATTAAGGAGGAGGGAGGAGTCCCAGCCCCAGCCCAGAGCACTCAGAACCACAGCAGAAGGGACTCGTGGTTAGAAGCAAGGAGCTTAGAGAGACACGGACGGCTTGGATCTGAGCACTGGTCCCGCCCCCTGTTGGCTGTATCTTCTTGGGTCGTTATTACCTTCTCTGTGCCTTAATACCTCCATCTGTTAAATGGGTTCTATTGTAGTAGCTACATGAAGGCTACACATACTGAGAAAGTGAGATGTGGGGAACATGGCATGGGACACAGTCAGGGTTCAGCTGATGCTAGCCAGCTTCGGGTGCATCAGGAGGGAAAAAGAGTAGTCAGGCTGGAAGCAGAACTAAGGGCTGAAATATCACTGAAGTTCTGGGGAGGAGGGGGTTTTGAGGAGAATGGGGTCAGGATGACCAGAGCGAAGAAATGTTGAGCACCTGAGTGGGTTATTTCATTAAGAACTGTGATCAGTTCAAGTTTACAGATGAGGAAACTGAGGCTTACAGGTAGGAAGTGAGTGGCGCCAGGTTGCACAGCTGAACAGATGTGTGGAGATGGAATTTTGATCCATGTCTATCCAGTCCCACAGCCCAGGTGCTCACACACTGCCCTGGAGGAGCCTCCCGAGAAGGCAGGGGTGCTCCAGCGTGGGAGGGGAAGGAGCAGGGCGTCCAGTGCAGCGTGAGGCTGCAGCCAGGTGTCTGGATCAGAGTTGCAGAGAGGAGACAGAATTGGTGGATGCAGGTCCCTCACCGGAGAACTTTGGCCAAGAATGAAGTGAGGAAGGGGGCAACAGCTGGAGGTGGAGAGGGTCCCTTGAGAGTTTATTCAGAGCAGGGACACAGGACTGGTTATCAAGTCAAGAGGAAACGAAGACGGGGGTGCTGGAGAGGCTGGGGGTGTCCTTGAAGGAGAAAGGCCCTTTGGGTGTGGGAGAGACTGCGATCGGGGCTCGTTTTGGACAAGGAAGAAAAGGGAGATACTGCTCTACCGAAAGAGTCAAGGTGGCCCCTCTGTTGGCTCTGCGTGGGGACAAGCTGAACGCCACCTTGAGACAGAGACACGGGTGTGGGAGGCCGCTAAGGACACACCTGGCCGGAAGCCTCAGCACTGAAGTGAGGGTTTAGGCATGGAGTGGGTTCAGGGGACAGAGAGCCGTCTGGGTCCCGGCTGGGGGCCAGACCAGGCTGCACCCTGTCCATCCACACCCCCATCCCTCCAGGCTCTCCACGAACTGTGAGCACCGGAGATTTAACAAATCAGAGGTTCTGTCTTCACAGGCTGTTCAGTCCCCGAGGGTAGACTGCTGTGATTGGTGAAGCATGTGATGCTGGGGTCACCCAAGAGGTCCCAGCACAGAAATGAGGTCTAAGTCGAGAGCGGGAGGGAGGGGTCAGGAAGGAAGGATTTGTGGGCAGCTTCCACCTGGGGCAGGAGGAGAGAGAAGGGGAGCAGGGAAGCTTGGGGAGGCTTGGCCAAGCAGTGCGGTGCGCTGGGCTGGGCTTGGAGACGGTCACTCTGGGCGGGCAGAAGAGCATCATCTTTGACTGTTTTTGTCCACAGGACTCGCAGCTCGAGTGCAGGGGAGAAAACTGACAGGAGGCTGAGGCTTGGCAGAGCACAGATAAAGGAAAGGCTGTGTCAAGCACCCTGCATTTCAAAAGCATGAGCTGAGGTATACGGGAGAGATGGTGGGACACCCAGACTGGCGACTTGCCCACGCGGGTTGAGCTGCCCTTTCATGGGACTGGAAGGAGCTGCTGGGGAGAGACTTCATCCCGAGGGGCCTCAAGTCCGGTTCTGATCACAGCCTAGTGATGAGAAAGGCAGAGGAGTGCCCGGAGGGTCCTGCAGGCCGGCAGCCAAATTCAGCGAGAGACAGTTTGTTGGTGGGAGCATCTGACACTCTCACCGGGGCCCCGAGGGAAAAGCGGGTGTCTGCCTGTGGCTCTGCAGGAGGAGACGAGCTGGGGGAAACGGGGTGACCACTGGTGCTTGGCTCAGCTTCACACTGGGCAGGTGCTGCCCGGGGATGCTCGGTCCACATTTGTGCACATGGACCCATGTGTAACGCAACGCTCAAACACCCACTGTGTCCAGGGCCCCTGATCGGCCAGAACATTTGTCCCCCAAGGTCATCCTTCAGTGCCCACAGCCTCGTGGAAACGGGCCCTTGGGTGCCCATTTTGTGAAAGAGGAAAGAGGGGTTAAGTGATTTTTTCCTAAGATCACACAGCTTGGGTGTGGTTAAATCCAGTCTCGGTTCATCCTCGTCTCCTTTCCTCTCCAGCTGACATTTTGTGGTTGTTACAAAAAGCCTCGGACATACACCACAGCTCCCCACCTTGGGCTCGCCCAGCAAGAGGCAGCCCTGGTCAAGATCAGCTCTTGGCCTGCTCCCCTCTCCAGGAGCATAGCTGGAGGTGGCTGGAGAAACCACTCCCCCACCTCGCATGACCAAATTCATGACCTTTAGCCTCAGGCAGGCCCAGGGGGTCTGGTCGGTACACGTTCCCACTCTCCCACTCTCTAGTTCATACCCTCTCCTTTTCAAGCCCCCATCTCCTGGGAGCACCCAGGGTCCCCGCACGCTCTGTGGTTTATAGTGGGAAAGACCCATCTCTGACCAGGAGACAGGTCTGGAGGTCGGGACCGATGGCTGGGCTGGGCTCCAAACTGTGGCTCCCCCATCCTGTGTGATGGAGGGCCGGGCCTGATCCCTGTGCTGACCACTGCCCTGCCCAGGCCGTAGGGGTTGACTCTGCAGCTCCCCTGACACTAATTCACAGATTTACTACGCTCTTTGGGAGTGAAGGTATTGTGAGAAGAGATTCCGCTTATGCCGAGTTTTTCTCTGAACATGGAGGTGGCTGAAGAACCCGGCACTAAGAAGAAGAATGATGTCATTAGAGCCAGATCAGTCCTCAGTTATCAGGGCCCAGCTCTGCCCAGGGTCACAGGGCGAAGTGGGACTAGGCTCCAGTCTCTCCTGACCCCAGGGCCACCGTCCTCTGCTTACAAAGATATTAGCAAAAATCATTTAAGAGCATTCCATTTCTAATAACAGTCTGGCTCCATAACTATTCATATCTCAGCAGCTGCTGGAAACAGGCACTTCCTCCCTAGGCTCCAACTCCAGGTGACCTTCCTTAGTGGCCAAAGTCATTTTTTAAAACCACAAATCTCAGAGTTGACTCTGGTAGGTTGAGTGTCCACACAGACACGGAGGCAAGCACATGACATGTCTCTTGCCCCTTAAACAACAAAAATCAGGGTGAAGAAGTGACAGATGTCCATAAAGTCCCCTCCATGGAGGAGCTGGTCCACATGGAGAGGGGTGGAGTTGGTGTCCTTCCGGCAGGGAGACCAGGCTGGGTACTTTGCTGGGAGTGGCACCGCCGGATTCCCTGGCTGCCTGGATGCTTGGCAGCCCTGGGAAAACCCAAGTCTGCAGACCAAGATTTCTCTTTCTGTTAGGTCTCGGGTCTCTGGCAGCTTGCTTTTCTGTCTAGCCCTGTGCCTGCCGGACCAGTTCCCCACCCTTAGCCCTTAGATGTTGTTATAACACCTTCCCCACCGCCGCCCTCCTCACTCCATGGGTGGACGCCTTTTTTGTGAGCTTCGCAAGCACCCTGCTCCCCGAGAGCCCCACTGCATCCCCAAGACCCCAGAGTCCTGGAGGTTGCAGGGGCCTAGGAAGCAAAGCAGAAGTCTTCAGGGGAGGACGCCCCGGCTGAGTGCCCTCAGGCCACAGGGCCTGGAGTGTCCACTATGACAGTAACAGGTCTAAGATTCTAGGCTGAACTGGCAGCCTCTTCAAACTGCTCAAATGAGACAGTGATGGGGAGAAGAGGAATCTGGGGGGGAAAGAGCTCTGAGATGAGGTGACTGGGGCAGGGTGGAGTTGGGGAGGGCGCAGATCTGAGGCCCATTTTTTGTCTCCCACTCTTTGAAATGACTTTCACACCTTCCCATCACACCCTTCAAAACTCCCACACCCTATCTCTCCTCTCTCTCAGCTGCTATGTTGCTGCCTGTTTGACCAAGAAAAAAAAAAAAAAAACTGTCCCTATTTTATCCACAGCCTGTGGACCTCACCCCACTTCCTAGTCAAGGACATCTCTCCTGCAATTGACCTCTATCCACCTGCATCACGAGGTGTTTCCCTCCCTAGGGGGCTCATTGTTGAGCAAATAAAATCACGCCAGGAGAGTGGGTTTTTAAAAATCTGTTATGATGTGGATGTAAAAGGCACCCACCCATTGTAAGCGCAAAGTTAAGAATTTTGACAAAGGTATAACCCCATGTAATCGCCGCCGCCAACGTCAAGTCAGCGAACATTTCGTGAACATTCTCCTTCAACCCCACGAGGTTTCCCACTGCTGAGAAGTGTTCCCTTGTATGGATGCAGCGCAGTGTGTCCAGGCCTTGCCTGTTGATTTACAATTGGGCTATTTCTACTTTTTGGCTATTACGAATAAAAAAAAAGTATAGTGACTATGCAACAAGACCCCAGAGTCCTGGAGGTTGCAGGGGCCTAGGAAGCAAAGCAGAAGTCTTCAGGGGAGGACGCCCCGGCTGAGTGCCCTCAGGCCACAGGGCCTGGAGTGTCCACTATGACAGTAACAGGTCTAAGATTCTAGGCTGAACTGGCAGCCTCTTCAAACTGCTCAAATGAGACAGTGATGGGGAGAAGAGGAATCTGGGGGGGAAAGAGCTCTGAGATGAGGTGACTGGGGCAGGGTGGAGTTGGGGAGGGCGCAGATCTGAGGCCCATTTTTTGTCTCCCACTCTTTGAAATGACTTTCACACCTTCCCATCACACCCTTCAAAACTCCCACACCCTATCTCTCCTCTCTCTCAGCTGCTATGTTGCTGCCTGTTTGACCAAGAAAAAAAAAAAAAAAACTGTCCCTATTTTATCCACAGCCTGTGGACCTCACCCCACTTCCTAGTCAAGGACATCTCTCCTGCAATTGACCTCTATCCACCTGCATCACGAGGTGTTTCCCTCCCTAGGGGGCTCGTTGTTGAGCAAATAAAATCACGCCAGGAGAGTGGGTTTTTAAAAATCTGTTATGATGTGGATGTAAAAGGCACCCACCCATTGTAAGCGCAAAGTTAAGAATTTTGACAAAGGTATAACCCCATGTAATCGCCGCCGCCAACGTCAAGTCAGCGAACATTTCGTGAACATTCTCCTTCAACCCCACGAGGTTTCCCACTGCTGAGAAGTGTTCCCTTGTATGGATGCAGCGCAGTGTGTCCAGGCCTTGCCTGTTGATTTACAATTGGGCTATTTCTACTTTTTGGCTATTACGAATAAAAAAAAAGTACAGTGACTATGCAAGTATAGTATCTGTATGGATGTAATCATTTCTCTTGAGTAAATATCTACGAGTGAAACAGTTGGGCCATATGATAATCTATGTTTAGTTTTATTAGAAACTCCCAAACTTGTTCTCCAAAGTGCTTCTATGATTTTACATTTCCACTGTGGCCCTTGAAAGTTCCTCTGGTCTGGCATGTGACCCCCACCATCCATGGTGGGCGCTGCAATCCAGTCCTCTCCTCCCGCCTCACCTCCAGGAAGCCTTCCTCGGCTGCAGCCACCCTCCCTCCCTCTCTTCCGCCTCTGGTTTCCTAGAGCAGGTGGGCTCTGAACCTCAGCACTCACGTGATTTCTATAGATCAGTCCCGAATTTTTCCATCAGGAGGAGCCTCTTAAGCCAGGGACCACACAGCCCTGAGGTCAGAGGGGAGGGAAGAGCTGCTCGTTGCTGGCCCCTGATGCCCAGGCTGGTGTAAAAATGGGAGAGCGTGCGCCACAGAGGAATGATTGCAGGCTGAGCATCAGGGTCCTGGGCCCTTTTCTTCCAATGATCCCTGAGCCTATTGTTTCTATCTCCGAGCCTCAGGTCCTGAAGCTGTGAAATGGGAACAGATGAGCTGGGCTAGGCGATTCCTAAAAGCCCTCTCCAGTTTTCAGGATTCAGTGTGCTCCGTTAGTGTCTCTTAACCCTTTGCAGACATTAGAATCACCCAAGAAACTTAAAAGACTAGCAACGCCTGTGCCCCATTCCCAGGGATTTAAGATGCAGTTGGCTTGTGATGGAGCCCTGGCATTCGTGATTTTATAAAAGTTCATGGGATGAGTAAGACAGGATTGGGAAGCTGACATCCTCACATTTGGTGGGGAAGCCACTTATTAGAAGGACCTGGGTCATGTTCAGGCAGAGCCATGGTCTCATGCTGCCCTCTGGTGGCCAGGTTGTTCACTACAGGCAGATTTCCACATCCACGTGTTTCAGCCTGGGTCAGGAAAAACGTGTAATAATTGAGCAGAAGAGGAGAACGAAGAAATAAAGAGAGGAGGAAGGAGACAGAGAAGGCCTGGCTCCTCCATGACCCATGAGTACACAGGCGTTTCCCTTCCCACTTCTCTCCTACAACAAATAATGTGCCCCCAGGACAAGCCCTCTGGGTCCCTGCTCCCCCCTCCATAGATGTAAGGGGAATTCAGAAGGATAGAGATTCATATGAATTGCTTTAGGCCAGTATCCCCCAAATGGAGGGAAACTTTGATGCAGGGATTCCAGAACCCAGCACAGGGCCTGGCCCATCACAGGAGCTCAACACATTATTGAATAAATGAATCCCACCCTGAAAATACTCTGTCTTTCCTCATTGTGCCATATTTATTTGTCATCCCCAATTTTTTACTACCATTAAGTAAAAGTAGTTCATTTCAGTTCAGTTGGCACAGCTACTTTTTAACTACGTAAAAAAGAAATCATTGACTTTTTAGGCTAAATCGAGAACAGATTATCCACACATTAGAAAGGGCAACAAAATTAAGAACTTAGCATATTAATTTTCACCTTCTTTCAAAAATACTTTATTCTAACATCCTTCCCCTTGCTGCCCATGCACCCGATGACCTTTCAGCTTTGTTTCTAAGTGCACAAACCCCACCACTTGAATTGTAATGCACTCACTGTACTGGCCAAGGGTCATGTTTAGCTCCATAAAATTCTATGCCTGGCCAGAGACAGTCCTGGCCAGAAGCTCATGAGTAAGAACTATGCTCATTTCCCTTCCACAAGCTGGGGTAACTCTAGCAGGATGGTGCTACTCAAATACGGTTCAGAGACAACACGGGTATCACCTTGAAGCTTGTTGGAAATGCAGAATCTCAGTCCTCACCTCAAAGAATCAGAATATGTGTCTTAATAAGCTACACTGGTGATGCACACACACATAAAAATTCAAGAACGGCTCTTCTGGGTTGTGCGATTACCAAGCTGTTTGAAGCTCAGGGAATCTATGCAGAAAGTTGAATACTTATTGATCTGGGTCTGGAAAACTTTCTCCAACAACTTTTCATGAAATTAAACCTTAACTAAATCTGCAAGGGCTAAAAAAAAATGTTTGCCAAAAATTTTCCAAGTCATTATGATTAATAAATACCATTTTCAAAATCTGTGTCGGCCTTCTTTCTCTGGTGAATGCTCCACATTCCCCTCTCTCTTATCTACTTCATGTTTACACATGGGTTTGGCAAGGGGGTGTTGGGCTGGTCAATATCAATGAACTCTGGTCATGTTTAGAGGCTTACTCTTAGAAAAATCAATCAACTTTCAATTAACAATTAACTTTCACAGCAAAAAAGTATTTTTAAACCTAGACCTGTCTGGCTCACATATCACATGAGGCCATGGAAAATCAGATAAAGGGTAAGGATAGTTAAGCACTAATGGACTCTATAGATGTTGGGTTTGTGAAAATGAAAGATAACTCATCTCTTTGAGGCGGACCAGCTCACAAGAGCTTTTCATGTGACAGCTGGCAGCTGGAATCAGCCTACTTTTGAAGCTCTGATTCCTCACTAAGCAAGAAATCATGCACGTTTTGTGGTTGTTGTCAATAGTTTTCCCTCCTTGAAAAAAAAGATAAACCGCTAAAGTGGGTTTCTTATCATTATCAATATCATATGAATTTAGGTATCCAAATTATGTTTCTGATGATCTGAGAAAGAAGATGAAAAAAGACTTTGTAGACCAACTTTGGCAGCTTAGACTTTACAAGCAAAACATAAAAGCTACACTTTTGTAACCAGTCAACCTAATCGTAATTCCAACGTTGGATAGTACAAACTCTAAACAAAATATGGACCTGTTACAGTTAGTAGAGCTCTTAAATATGTAAAAACCCAGTTTAACCATCTTATTGGTTCAGGTGATACTAAGACATTAAATGACCAGCCCACGATCACACCGCTTGTTTCTATCGAAGCAAAAGCTAGCATCTGGGTCTTCTGATATGGAATTGGGTGTTATCATCTCTATTAGGCTTCCGTGGTGGCTCAGGCAGAAAAGCGTCTGCCTGCAGGGCGGGAGACCTGGGTTCGATCCCTGGGTTGGGAAGATCCCCTGGAGAAGGGAATGGCAACCCACTCCAGGATTCTTGCCTGGAAAATTCCATGGACGGAGGAGCCTGGTAGGCCACAGTCCATGGAGTCACAAAGAGTCGGACACGACTGAGCGACTTCACTCACTTATCATCTATAACACTGGGCATGTGAAACACAATGCCCCGCCTTATGGAGAATAACAAGAACGACAAAACAGAAAAAAGCACAGAAGGGTATAGACCACATCTATTGATCACTTTATCTGGTATAGTCCAAAATCACGGGCACAGCACTCAACACACATTTGCTGAATAGACTTGCAACAGATTACAATTCAAGAAATGTTTTCTGAGTGTTTCTGAGTTTCTAAAGCCATTGGTTAGGCAGTATATGAGGCACATTTACATCATTAACTTCATTTTATTCCATTCTATTCCCATCAGCATTATTGTGATTATCAGAGTTGCACACAGTTACTACATAAAGTATAGATAGAGGTCATCATTTCCTCTGATTTAGAAGAGAAGAAAAAGAAGACCGGCAGGAAAGGGTAGATAGGCTATCTGGGATCTTAGAGACAGGCTCACCTTAGACATAATTTGAAAATTTCTGCAGTTTATAAGCAATTGTCTTTTTTCACCAAGTATATTTTCAGAGTATAAATGGTGATCCTTAAATTGTGCCCAGCTGATGCAATCCCCAGAGGACTGTCACTCTTAAAGGCAAGAAGTAAAGGGAGATGGTCCATGGGTATTTCAATGGTTATAGGTTTTCAGCCTTCCCTACAAATTGGTGCTTATCAGATCCCTTTCCTCCCTCTGTTTGCACGAAATAATCTAGAGGTGAAAAAATGACTTAGAACACATAAAGGCAGTTAAGCCTAAGACTCTGCCAAACCTGTTTGATCAAATCCTTCAAAAATAGCTTCTCCAGGGGAGCATGGTCTTTCATTGTGGCTCAGGGAAGAATTGCAGACAAAACCCCATCATACAGATCTGTTGGGTTAGCACTGTTTTATTTTTACTCTTGAAGCTGTCTATCCACTAAAACCTTAAATGAAAGAGAATATAATATAGATCAGGACAGACTCAGTTACAACTCAAACCCTGCTCCTCACTGCTTCTTAGAGTGGACCCTGGTGCACAGTGACTGCTGGATAAATGCTAGCAATGACCATCACCATGGCTATCACCTCCATATCGCCATCGTGGTGGCTGCTCCAAGCCTCCTGCTGCAACTTTGACAATCTTCCCTCAATCCGCATGGATCCCTATGTATCTACCAACTCCATTGCTTCACCCGAGGTGACAAGTCATTTCTGGACTTCTGCACTTCAGCACTGAATGCCTTATCTAGATTAAAAAGTACCAGCTCCTGTCTAGTCAAATTACCAAGAACCATTTTCAGGTTTTTCTTCTAAAATGAAAGTAAAATGTTTTTTTCTTTAAATCTACAGCATGTGGCACCTATTACTACTACTAACGCAATACTAATAAATCTACTATTAATAATACATTACTAATAAATCAACATTTATGTCAGAGGTATGGGCAAGAGACAGATATAGACAGAGAGAATGAATACAGCTGAGCCAAATAAAGTTCAATTGGTCCTGACCGCAGTAGGAACCTAAAAAAATAAACCCAAAATGGATTAAAGACCTAAATGTGAGATTGGACACCATGAAATCTTAGAGGAAAACATAGGCAGAACACTCTCTGACATATATCACAGCAATGTCTTTTTTGATCTTTCTCAGATTAACAGAAATAAAAACAAAAGCAAATGGAACCTAATTAAACTTAAAACCTTTTGCATAGCAAAGGAAATCACAAACAAGATGAAAAGACAACCCACAGAAAGAAAGAAAATATTTGCAAATGATGACAAGGGATTATTCTCCAAAATTTACAAACAGCTCATGTAGCTCAGTATCATCA